CATATGCTCTACACAGCAAACAGTGGGCAAGTATGATAGTCTGAGACCTTTTTAAAAATATTTTATTATTTTTATTTTACATATATGAGTGTACTGCCTACATGTATGTAAGTGCACCCATGTCATGCAATGCCTGTGGATGTCAGAGAGGGCATCAAATCCCCTGGAACTGGAGTTACAGAGGGTTGTTAGCCCCCATGTGGGTGCTAGGAATTGAACCCGGGTCCTCTGCAAGAGCAGCTAATGCTCTTAACCTCTGAGCCATCTCTCCAGTCTGACAGTCTGAGACTTTTGAGAATCTTTCTTCTTAGCTCACCAGGCCAATTTCACCCTTGGGAGTGGTTTTTTTTTTCCTTTCTTAATAAACTGATAATAGTCTGACATAGTAATATTCTTCAAGATGGAAAGATACATGCTAGGAAGGAATTACATTATTTTTCAAATAGCAGGACTGGAGAGACAGCTCACAGTTAAGCTCTGGCTGCTCTTGCAAATGACCTGGGCTCAGTTCCCAGTAGCCACATGGTAGCTAGCACCCAACCATAACTCTAGTTCCAATGCCCTCTTCTGGCCTCTGTAGGCATTGCACACAAGGGTACACTTACATGCAGGCAAAACACTCACACACATAAAAATAATGTTTTAAAAAAAGATTGTTTTTCTTCACAATGATAAGCTGTAACCTGAAATTATAAGCTAAAATAAACACTTTTTTCCTTAAAAAAAGAAATAAGATTATTTTTCAAATAGCTTTAGGTATGCAAGGGAAAACATTTTTTTTCTTTTTTTTGGTCTTTTTGAGACAGGGTCTCCCTGTAGCCCCAGCTGTCCTGGAACTCACTATGTAAACCAGGCTGGCCTTGAACTCACAGAAATCCACCTGCCTCTGCCTCCCGAGTGCTGGGGTTAAAGGTGTGCACCATGCCCGGCTTTTATATTACTTTTAAAGATTTTCTCTCTCTCTCTCTCTCTCTCTCTCTCTCTCTCTCTCTCTCTATGTATGTCTCTGTGTATATGCACGTACACACAGTGTTCAAGAAGGCCAGAAGAAGGTGTCAGATCCCCTGCAGCTCATTGAGAGCCCGATGTGGATGCTGGGAACTGAATTAGGTCTTCTGTAGGAGCAGTATGCACTCTAATTGTTGAGCCATCTCTCTAGCCCCCCCCCCCACATTTTTGAGATGGGATCTCCCTATGTACCCTTCCCTGGCCTGAAACTAGCTATGTAGACCAGGCTGGCCTCAAATTCATACAGATCTGTCTGTCTCTGCTTCCTGAGTACTGGGATTAAAGTTATGTGTCACCACACTGACCTATATTATTTTTTAAGACAGGGTCTCATTAGCCCAGGCTAGCCTTGAACTTCCTACGTATCTAAGGTTGACCTTGAACTTTTTCTTTTTTTCCTTTTTTTGTCTTTTTGCAAGGGTCTCCTAGAGCCCCAGTTCACCTAGAAATCACTATGTAGACCAGGCTGGCCTCGATCGCACAGAGATCCACTTGCCTCTGCCTCATGAGTGCTGGGATTAAAGGCCTGTGCTACCACACCAGGCTTGAACTTTTTCTAATCCTCCTGATTCTACCTCCCAAGGGCTGGGATTATAGGCAATGACATCACTCCCAGTTTTATGTTCTGCTGGGGATGGAACTCAATACTAAACAAACACTCTACTGAGTGTACAACATCAGCCCAAGGACAGATTTTTTTTTTTTAAAGGTTCAGCTGGAGATATGGCTCAGCAGTTAATAGCACTGACTGCTCTTGCAGAGGACCTGGGTTTGATTCCCAGCACCCACATGGTGGCTACAAACCATCCTGAACTCCAGTCCCAGGGGAATCCCAAGCCCTCTTCTGACCTCTGCGGTATTGCACGATATGGGTGCACTCACATACATGCAGGCAATACACTCATACACATAAAATAAAAAATAATAATAAATAAAAATTTAAAAAGTACTTGCTTCTCTTGTAGAAGACCTGGGTTTGGGTCCCAGCACCCATATGGCTGCTCACAACTGCCTGTAACTCCAGCTACAAGGGACCTGATGCCCTCTTCTGGCCTCCAGAAGCACACACATGTGCACAAACATACATACAAGCAGACATGCATACACATAAAATAAATAAATCAGTAAACCTTTTTTTTTTTAAGTACGAAATTGTGTAGGTCTATAATCCCAGAACTCACGAAGTTGAGGCAAACAGATTTTGAGGTCAAGGTCTGCCTGGGCTATATAGCCAAGACCATAAATAATTTTTAAAAATTTTTCCTGTAGGAAATGCATTTTGTTATTTACAACTGCAGGTCAAATAAAGACAAAATGTATTGATAATTCAAATAATTTTAAGAATGCTATTTCCCTGGGTCATAAGCCATGCAGGCAGAATTGCACCAACTAATCCCTGGAGAAGTGTGTGTGTGTGTGTGTGTGTGTGTGTGTGTGTGTGTGTGTGCGTGCGTGATGGGGGAGGGGGGTGACAGGAGCGAGGACATATGCTCCTTCCTCTGCCAGAGTTTATTTCCTGGTGGACTATGGTTTTGACGCAGCCATGACAACGTTTGCCCCTTGTTAGAGTCAAACCATGCGGAAGGGCAGCCTGGATTGCAAGCACAGAACTGGGCAGCCTCCAGCCCTAGCCTTCCCTTTGGTCCTTCCGGCCACCTCCTGGCATGAAGGTGAGGGACATTCATTCCTCCAGAGAGATCGCCATAACCCGCCAGCCAAAGTACATCCCGAGTCGGGGAGGGATGGATCTCAAAGCCCCGAAGTGAGGTCAGCCAGTGAGCAGTTAGAAAAGCAATAATTTCTCACACTTGCTAATGGGTTTGACTCTTGTGAAACATAAACAGGAAGTGGGAGCACTCAGGAGCGACCTGAAGGAAATACACTCCCAGTTTGGTCAACGTGTGAATCCCAGTTCTTGGTGTCTTCAGGAGACTGGCAGTGAAGTTTGACCCCCCCAAGATGCACCCAGTCCCAGCACTGACCCCCCCCCCCTTTTTTTCCCTTTCAATCCCCCAGCTGGGTCACTCGACCGCAAAGTGACTGACCCCAAGCACGGTGGGAAAGGTTGACAGTCATCTCTGAACTCCCCAAACTTGCAGGGCAGGGGAGCGAGGAGGTCAGTGAAATCCCCAGCCAGGCCTCATTTTAGTCACGAATTTCCATCGGCTCCTTGCTGTATGTCAGCAGCACCACGGGAGCTGCTTTTCAGATGCTTTTCCTGCTCTGGGCTGCTAGATTGTCAGAGACCGGACTTTTCCAGGGAGGTCGGTTGGGGGCCCCCTGTGGCCTAAGCAAGATTGCAGAGTCCTTTCTGCCCCACGCATGGGCCTGGGAGTCAACTTCTCCATCTACCTAAACGCCTCGGTTAGTATTACATTAACAACAAAACAAAAACCACCTCTTCTATTCTCAGCCTGTGACCCCCATATACTTTCTCTGAAGGCTGCTTTCAGATTGGCCTTGTTGGCTCCTTCCTAGACGTTCCGTCCAAGTAAGGACAAGCTCTATGTGTGATTCCCCACTTGGTCTCGGGGTAAGGAGTTCCACGAATGCGTGTAGACAGCATACATGTTAAAATTGCTCTGTGAGAGGCGAAGTCTCAGCCTCTCTCTCTCTCTCTCTCTCTCTCTCTCTCTCTCTCTCTCCCCCCCCATATCCCTCTCTTTTTCTCCCTGTCTCTCACGCAGGTTCTTGCCTGTGTCCCCTCTCTTCCTTTCCCTTCTCTCTTTCTCTCTCTCTCCCCCTTCCTTCTCCTTCCTCCTGCCCTGGGAACAGGTCGCAAGCAGCGCCACCCAAGTTCTTGGTTGGCAGCCGGATCCTACGTAGGAGGGCAGCCCGAGTACCCAGGGGTCTCGGCCCCTGGGCGCCCCACTGAGGCCCCAGCCCCAGGCCACGTGAAGCGTCACGCCCGCGCTGCTGCAGGGCAGGCGCCGCCGCCGCGATTGTGTAACGCTGCAGCCGGAGGGGAGGCGACCCGGACGCCTCTGCTCCAGAGGGGGCAGAGGGAGGGAGGGAACGCCGGGCACCGTGCCCGATATCTTTCGGTGCTTGACTAGCCAGGGTGGGTGGGGGCAATGAGGCACCCAGGGGGATGGGTGGTGGTAGATGGGGAGCCGGGCCACCCGCAGGCTGCACCCCGGAGCTAAGCAGAGGCCCCCGCACGGCTCACACCCTCCACGGTCAGGTGCGCGCAGCGTGCTAGGCGGCGGCCTCGGCTGCCCCTGCTCTTGGCCACCTGCCCGCTTCCCATGGGGTGACATCCGCCCCGCCCCTCGGTCCCTCCCCAAGGCGGGCAATTCCTGGACGCTGGGGCTGAGCCATGGGGGTGGGGTGGGGGGGCTGGGAAGCCGGGACGGAAAGAAACCCCAGCCTCTGGGGATGGCCAAGGGGGGCCGGCGACTCAGTCCTCCGCGCGCGGGTTCCTCGGAGCGGGCCAGGCGGGGGAGGAGGAAGAGGGCTGGGCTGGAGCGATCGAAGGGATATTCCTCTCCCGGCTTGAGTCAGACGCGGGCGGATCCGTCCTCCCCCGTCCCCTCCCAGGAGACGGGAACTTACTTCATTTCCCTGGGGCAGGTTCGCCCACGTTACTAACCTCCCCCTTCCCCGGTTCCTTCCAGCTTTCGCGCCCCCCCCCCCAGCTGGGCAGGACCCGGGGCTGCTCTGCCACCCCCTCTTTCGGGGAAAGGAGGCCGCAGCCGCAGACACCTGGGGCTCAGGGTTTGAGGGGGAGGAGGTGGGGGCATCCTTGCAGCCGCCAGAGCGTTGTCCAACACGTGAGACTCATGTGATGAAGCCGGGGGAGGACGGGCTGGTCGCTCGTTCCCTCCCCGGCAGCGGCCAGACGTGCCTGGAGTCACAGGGTAGAACACGTAGCTCCCTCCATCCCACCCACTCGCTCCCGTTTAACCCAGCCCGCAGCCTCTCCTTTACTCCTTGGCTCTTCCCCCCCCCCC